GTGTGTGTGTGTGTGTGTGTGTGTGTGTGTGTGTGTGTGTGTGTGTGCGCATCGATCGTAAGATGTCTGCGAATGTACCCTCAGGATGGTGTACAGAACAAATAGTTGGCGTACGGATAGAACTTGCCAATCTCGGAAAAGTTCTCGAGTTGGAAAAAGGAATGGTCGGAATGACGCCACTTTCAAAACCGCTTGTTGAGCCACTTCCAGTTTCATAAGAGTCGTTTTTGATACACCACCCCAGGATGAAATGCATGCAAATAAGTGTGTCACTATAACGTTTATACAAAAGAAGAAGGAAGATATGACATAAACATATTAAACGGTATGTTATCAACTGTGTCATTAGTAGAAAAATGTTTTACTGATTTACGCACTTGTATCGCGAGACCCCCGACATAGGCATTCATAAGAGGCGCATTGCACCCACGTTACGATAAAAAACAATCTTGCAAAAATACCATTTAGTTTCCTATATCAATATCGACATGAAACATTTTTTCAATGACGATTGAGATACAAAAGTGACTCGAAATTTAATAATTTATTTGGTCCATGTCGGACGAACGGACTGCAAGTAGTTGAGGAGTTGGGTAGTTTGCAGACCGTCCTGGTTACAGCATCAGATGAAGGTGAATAATAATAATTATAACATAATTATTTATTCCACTGTCACAAAAGGAAAATTGCATAATTCCAGATTGATTATTATTTAAAATAAGCTACAAGTTAACTACCTTAAGTGAGAGACCGGAGTCCATACTAGGTAACTAGACCCGTGTTACAGATCTCCAGGCCCTACACAATAAAAAAAAAAGGTTTTTAAATTAAAAGTAAATACGCTATTATAGTAAACAATGTGACGACGAGTCGTGTGCGTGTGCGTGTGCGTGTGTGCGCGTGGATGTGTGTGGTGGGTGTCACATCATTGTAACGTCATCCGATTTTTCCTCCTCGCGTCGTATTCCTTATTAATGAGGATCATGGTTCCCCCAAGAAAACAATTTCTGCATGACGACGCAGCGCCATCTGTGGCGGTCTTTGGCATAGTGGAGCGCTACATGGAGACTCATGCCGAGAGCCTTACAGATTTATAAACAATGGTCGGAATAGGGTGTTCCAAATGAGTAGATAACTGTCTACATATATGTAGACACAAGAAGTGACATAGAGGTTAAAACCTCCAAATGTGAATTAATTACTTTTTCGGATTTCCGGAAGTAGATGTCATACCACACCATGATATTCAAATATTTTATTGTGTACTTACTCCACTAATTTGTTATAATTGTTAATACAATACAAATAATATCGAACACGAAGATAAAACGTTATTAAACATAATTGTTTACATTATGGTCTGCGAAGTGTAACGCAACGCGGGTACCCGGTAACCGGCGTCGGAGACGTGGCTACATGACACCCTTCGGCCAAAACGCCTCTGTCTTCAAGGTCGACAGATGTTATGTTGGTACTCTCACCACAAATGAATTAAAATCCACATGTTGGCGATACCTCAACCACTCGACCCTCAGGTTAGCGTTGGCTTTTATTCGTATATATTCCACAATAATCGCAGACTTTGTGGAGTAACAAAGAATTTTATACTTTTGTTTTACGATGTTGTCACTTGAATTAAAAGTTCTAACAGAGCTCGGCCATATTTTTACTATGAATATTTTATAATAACTAAGCTCAAGTAATCTCACCATATAGAAGTCAATTTCAGTCATGATAATGACGCCGTTCTTATCACCGGAGAACAGCCGCATCCCATTTTTGGACCACTCGATTGCTGTGATTTTGCTTTTGTGAAGATCTCCTATTGTATACCTAAAACAATCATTAAGTATTATAATAATAATAATAACGCACACATTCAACATACTAGCAACGCACTCGGGAAGCCCTGAGTCGCGGGTGCCATGGACACACACATAGACAACCACAAATTACACCCAAACTCACGAGAGAAATAAACGTAGGAGACATAAATATTTGTCCCTGGCCGGGAATCGTACCTGGGACCTCTGCATGGCAGTCCGGCATGGTAACCGTTCGGCCACGGAGGCAGTTATTAGTAAGTTAAGGTGGAGTAAGAGGAATACAGTTTATTTCGAGCCAAATATTTTGAGCTCTAGAATGATCAGAAGTACACTAAACTTGCTGTTGTTTACCAACTCTACTTGTTTTAACAACCATTACTCTGAATTCTATACTTATGTACTCTTCAAATCAAATCAAATCATTTTATTCGTCATCATGGGTACAATAAAGATGATAACATTTATTTTATGGTCGCCATGACGTACCATCAAGGCATACGAATTATACTATTATTATTAATTATACTTGTCCAATACTTCCAAATAATAATAATAAAATAACACTAATAATTATCATTAAATAGTCATAAACCACTGATTATAGGCTTCCACCTTCACGGGACCAAGTCTTAAAATCTACAACAGTTAGAACATCAAAACAAAAGTAATTTAATTAAGATAATAATCAATGTAAATAAATCAATGTCATACAGTCACGTTCGTCTCAATAATATCTTATTTTTTATAACTGTATAGAAAATAAGAGTTTTTTTATAAATATCAAGTGACGTGACGAACAAGTCGTGCGCTTGATGGTCAGCTACACACCTGTCCATAACAGTTGCAGTGCCATTCAGAGCTTTAAATCGGAAAGATCCGACAGGCACTGCCACTGCGCCCGACACCCTGAGACATAAGTTGACAAGTCCCATGTGCCTGTAATTTCACCAGTACCCTTACCCTTCAAAACAAAATACAGTAATGCAGACATTACTGCTTGGCGGCAGAAATAGGTAAGGTGGCAGTACTTCCCTGGACGAACTCTTTCACAGGGAGTTCTACTGATACTAAATGAATGAACAATGGAGGTGTTCCTGTTTTTGTGTATAAATTTCCTTTTTTTTCTATTTTGTTTTGCAGTTTAGTATTTTATATTGTGCCTACAGTGAAACACAGGTTAGGTGCAATATGTTTTAAATAAACTAATTTTGTTCAATAATGATATATATATAAAGCATAGAAACTTTATAATTCCATTTTTATAAAGTATTGATAGACGTCCCAGTCACAAAGAGGCAATAAATTATCTTCTATGCTATTTACCAGCATTCGAGAGTATGTGGGGCCTACAAACTAGAAAACGAAGTGACACAACCTCAAAGGCATCATTGCTAAGATTTAATTCTCAAATATTGATATACTTATTATTATACTTATAGTATTATAATTTTGAGTATTATTATATCATAGCCTAAAAAATTTATGTTCAAATGGGAAAAGCGATATTCTCCGACAATGGCACAGTCAGCTGGGGTCAGGGTCTCAGGTTCAAGAACCGGCAAACGATACGTGCTGTATCGACAAAGGCTATTTTTGCGAAAAAGCCTTTCTCAGTATAAATCACATGTATGCTTTAATGCATTAATGTTTAGAAAAATACAGTACAAAAATCCTTAATTCATTGGTAGTACTAACCTAACTCAAGGGGCGTTTTTATCAATTTTATTTAAATCACATGCTTGGCGATAGTAATTATTGTCACTTCACAGTCTACATACCTTTCAACCTTCGGTTCAACTTTGGGTTTCAATGAGTCTGGCACATTTTCCGGGTGTTCTTTGGGGATTTGGAACACAGTCACCTGACCAGCTTCATTGCCAGCCCCCACCATGTAGTCCACTGTGTTCACTATCTTCACATATGTTATGGGACTTGTTGAAGCCTATGAAAAAATTAATCATATTCAAAAATTGCTGTATATATTTCTCCCCAGTTTGTCGTAACTAAAGTGCTTGCATTGTTTGCAAAGTAAATAAATATTGGTGTAATTATATAGCATAAAAATAATGTAACAACTACATAGATTTGAAAATGAATATGTAATACCTGAATGGTCAATGGAAACGATCATATTATTACAAATCTTGGTGGCCATATTCCCAATTCTTACCCTGACCGATTTTATTAGGGCTTCTGTTACTTTGAAACCGATAGAAAGTGAGAGGGATAACAATAATAAAAATTTTAAAATGTCTGGGAGTTATAGAATCAATGCCATAATCATATTTTTTTGCAATACAGCGTGAAACACTTGAAGTATTTTTACTGGTTATTTTATCAATGTGGAGATAAGGCCAGTGTCCAGATACCACTGTTTACTCACATAGCCTTATCTCTAATTAGCACATCTACTTCCTAGTTGCCTAAACAATTATAACAGATTTGTTTTTATACAATATCAAATACCAAAAGATGTTTGAATATGAATATTTAATGTTTCAAATTGGGTGTTACTTACAAATGCCATTTAAATTCATCACATCTACTGTCGAAAAAATTTAATTACAGTTTTATGTTTCTTCCTATACTCATTACCTTTGACATTTCGATTGAAGGACATGAATCCAAGGTCACAAAATAAATTTTGAAAAATTATTGTGCAATGAGGGAGTTCTTTAACTATACAAAAGAAAAACGTGGACATTCCCTACTACAAATCCTGGGACTTCTTGGAACTGATTATACTTGAATATACGTGTTATTTATTGAAATTTAAGTATAGACCCATTAAAAAATAAAAAATTTAAATTTATACACATTGATGGTGTAATGGGTATGTCCATACTAAGGAAACATTCATATTTTAGGTATTAATTTTCCCTCAATTCCTATCATTGGTTATGAGAGAAAAGTGGATGGAGACAGCATAAATACCATTTAACACAAATACCATATAACCACAATTGAGGGAAAAAAATATTTACGTAGTTTGATGAAGAATTTCACGTTGTAATGTAAATAATCCATTTTCATAAAAATTGCCAGTTACGCCTAGTGTTCGAAGGGATAGTAAACTGTTAATTTATAATCATAATTTGGTGCAACCACAATATATTTCATGATAGCCTTCCCACATTCAAAAACATGTTGGCCCAGAGGTTTTTCAAGTGCTCTGTTAATGTAAAAATAACGCTTTTTAGAGCATTCTGTCAGAATTTTTATACAGGTGCACTGTGGACCAACTTTACGCAGCGGGCTTACAACTCCTTGCGTGTACTGTACAATAACATCTTTAGGGTTCTGTTGAGGCTTCCCCGCCTTTGCAGTGCATCTGGCATGTTTGCGGATGCATGCGTGGATGGTTTTTACGCAATCATGCGCAAAAAAAGTGCGTCACAGATGTTGCGACTGCGTGGGAGCACCAATAGTATCCTAAAGATGATAGAAGTAAGAATGGACTCGCCTGTCTTTCGGCGGTTTACCGAGTTACATGTAATATGTAAGTAATAATAATAATAATGTATAATAATAATGTATAATAATAATGTAATTGCACCTATTTTATAATTGTTTTGTCCTCTTTGTCTCTACTAACTTAGCACATAAGATTATTGTTACTAACAAATATGGACTAAGTTGTCTGAAAAATAAATGAATTTGAATTTGAATTTGAAAAAAAGTCCATTATTTAATATGTTTTTTTTTTGTAATCTGTTCTAAGCATTTTTTTTTAGTTTATTGGTTCACCTACAGTTATTACAATGTAACATGCCATAAATTCAATTTGGTGAAGTTCTTATCTAAATTGCAGAACTACTTATGAGTGAACACAACTTGCAAAAACAATGTAAAATGTAAATTATATAGAATTTAAAAACAGCAACTTAATTTTAAAAAAGAAAAGAAAAAAGTAATACAAACAAAACCAACAAATACAAATGAACAAGGGTCTCGGATAGCATCAAATTTGATGGCGGGAAAAAAATCAAATTATTTGTTTTATCATTAATTATTCTTTGTTTTTACGTTATCACTCTACTATTTGTTATTATTATTGATGCAAAGATTGAACATAAACAAAAATTCCTTGGACTCAACTGTAGTCTCGAGTTGGTTACCACTCTGTCAACTGAAAAACATCCTGATATAATGAATAAAAATATGGTCACTCCATTTTAAATTTTTTAATGCTGTGTACAGTTAGTATTGAAATACAAATTTAACAACATTTTACTTTTCATTGCTTATAAATAATGTTGTTAGTTTTTTTTCTGTAATCTGTACCATTCAAATTAAAAAAAAATTGTAAATATCATATGCAGTTTACACTTAGATTCCATTTCTTTTTTACACAAACTAGTATCTCAATGTATAATAATCAGTGCAATTATGAATTTTTAACTTTATAAAAACAATCCTATGCTATAATATCCCACTATACTTTGTTCTGCTATCCACAAACTAAAACATGACTAAGTGACAAATGTTTAAATATCCATTTTAAATAGCAAAATATAGAGCACAAAATTCTGTTTTAAAAATTGTTAACATATTCCACTTATCAGAACTTACCCTAACAATGCATAGCTGAAATATCATAATATATCATATTCTAAAACTGGGTTATGGTTTTTTATGATAATTATCTCAAAAACTTATTTAGTCACTTTGCCGCATTTAAGTCAGACTGGCAACCAGTGTTATCAACATATTTTTGTACCTCCACATTTTCTATTCCAAGCCAGTGGAATTGTAGGCAAAAGTGAGGCAATCATTGAACAAAAAGTTACCTATACAATTCTATAACTCATTATTCCTAGCCTACCATCCATACATAACTAATTACTTATATACACAAAGTAACAACACGGAAAACAATCAGTTCTATAAATTACCCCCCCACCTTTATTGCTTTTAGGCGTAGTTTCGAAAAACTAAGAATTGCACTTCAATCTTTGCAATTCAACACCAAGTTCCAAGATATATGTAATCAACATTGACAATATCATGTTTATTACATTATAAACATTTACGATGTTTGAAGATATGCGAATATTGTTTCTTTCTATATGGAACTTTCTGGGTCTCTGTAGGTAAACTTGTCAGAAAATTAATTATTAAATCGATAATATATCACTTGAGTCATTTGCCTGGATTAACTGACCATCAAAAGGCTTATATTAGTGTTACAAGGTTAGGGAAAGTATTAGCATATGCTTTACGCGTAGATAACTCACCTCACAACGCAGCCGCTGAATGTTGCCTTTTTTCCGGTCGTACCAGTACACCATGCCCGCGTTGGTGCCTAGTGCGATGTATTCGCTAACGGCGTCCACACAAGTCAGGCACAACTCGTTGGAAAACAAACCATTCTGAACGCGAAGTGGTATCAGATTCAATATGTGCGAGCAAGGCATCCACTCGCGTACAAACGCCTCCTCAGCTCCGCTGGTTACCTCCATTTTTTAAATTTACCGCCTAATTTACTAATTTTAACTTAAACACTATTTCTGTGCATTGAAACATGTTTATTTATGGAAAGTGTTTAAATATATTTTTTTACAAAAAGAGTACTATCCCGTCTGATCCGTTGCTTGCTGCTGGCTGATTTTGACAGTCAATGCTGCCAACAAAGAAAGTTACTGCGATTACTATATTTGATGACTTTGGATTCGAGTATCTCAGTACTATTTTTTTTTTTTTTTTTTTTTATTGCGACTCGACAAAATGACTGCACCGCGCCTGATGGAAAGTGCGAATACAGTCCAGAGATGAGAGTAACGGATTGAAAACACAAATATCTTCACTCCGTCACTATCATTTTGCCGGTCTGGCCAAATGCACTGGATGTACACCAACTGATCCCTGAACGCGATTCGCAAAAGCGTTTCACTGTGGAGGGTTTTCCGCCGTGTGTACTGTGGTCGCTATCCAGTCGGCACAGAGCCTACCACTATAGTATGATTTTCATGGTATTCATTTTATGCTACTTTCATAGCTGGGTTTAGGGTCTTTATATGTGTAGGACTGATTCCTGCTTCAAACTGAAAACTCACATAACACATGAAAAATTCATTTCCAATCGATTTTCGTTTTATATTAATAATTATATAGGTTTGCTTTCCATACAAAGTAGCGGAAATTTAATACTCAATTTAACGCAAATTTCTAAGTTAATCGTTATTTCCTATTAACCAAAAGCCATTGATCCATACAAGTTACCGGTTTCTTTAGAGTAGACGAGCTAGGGGCAAGTCTTTAGAATGAACGTGTACCAACTACACAATACTAACTGTACATTTGTCAATTTCTTGTCAAAGAGTGCCCGTCGTCAAAAGCCATCTCATTTCTTATTTTTGAAGTGAAGTGACGAAAACCTCCGTCGAAATGGCTGAGCCAGTTACAGAAATCCCTATAAACATTCAAGAAAGTGTTATAGAAGCTGTGAAAAATGTCACGGACAAGCCACCGTCAAGTATTGAGGGAATCGCGATTGCATACTTGAGTCTCGTAATTATGGCTACTTTACCCATATTTTTCGGGTCTTTTAGATCAGTCAAGTACCTGAAAGAACAGAAGGTGAGTACATCCTTCACGTTTCCTCATAAAAGTGTGCTACGAGTGCTTATCCTTGTAATTCAGATTCTCCGCGCGTCCAATAGGAACGGTGCACGCCGTATCACCGTGGCATATTTCCTAAGGATTTGCGGAAATAATCGCGTACAATTAAGCCTTAACAAGCACCTAAACCGTAAATAATGAATAAAATACATTTTTTATTTGCTTATCACCTAAAAGACATGGGACCTTTTTAAATAAATTATCATTATAATGAATAGCAAATTTGCAATTATTTCAATTAAAACTAATTAAGTGACGTTATTACAGGAACTTGGTGAGCAGCATGAGACAATGTCGAATAAGGATGCACTGATGTTCCCTCTGATTGCTTCAGTTGCACTCTTCTCTCTCTACATCTGCTTCCAGTTCTTCTCCAAGGAGTACATTAACCTGCTTCTCACTGGATACTTTTTCTTCCTCGGAGTACTTGCATTGAGCCATCTGCTTAGGTAGCTACTATAGTTACACTTAAATATTACATTATTGTGTTCAGATGTCAATGAATTCACAAATGAATTTTTAATACAATTGTGTCCTTGAATATGAACATTTGGAAATTTGTAACAGAAGGTCCTAATTTCATTATAAGCTTAATTCAATTAATATCAGCGCTGGAAAGGTAAAATGTGTAATGTGCATTTGGAAAATTTAACACGAGTGATTTAAAGTTTTTTTTTTAAGAAAAAAATCATAATTCTAATTTTGTTTGTTGTATGGAAAATTAGAATGTTTCAGCTTTTCCATAATATAACAAATAGAATTAGATTTATGGTTTATTTTCTACAAAAAATTGCCTTAATGCGCTGTCCTATAATATTTTCTAAATGAGTGTTAGATGTTTTATCATTCCAGTGATAATATGTAAGTCAAATTAAAGTTAGGTCTTGTACTACGTTGTGAAATTTTAGATAAATTATTTTTACTAACATTTGAAGCCTTATATCAAAAGTCGAACATCTGGGTCTAAAGTATTTACATGTTATACATACTGGTTTTAGAGTATAAAAGTAAGTTGACTGGCTTTTACACTCGTTTATTGGCATACAAAGCATTTAAAACTTGTGTTTAAAAGTGTGCCTTGAGCAATCCCACCTTTTTATATTATGAAATTCTGGCCCTTAGTACTTAGGTACATTATGAGAGGAGATCTCAGAATCAATTCATGGCTGAACTACTTCTGGATAACTGAATTTTGTTACGCAGTACAGATTGTTCAAATTCAGGTAATTGATATTGTAGTCTAGTACATTTATAATATTTTTGTGCAGCCCGGTGATCTCTCTGGTTGTGCCAGCGTCGATCCCGAACATATCGTACCACATTCACTTCACGCGTGGCGAGCGCGACGCTAGGACCGACATCATCAACTACAAGTTCTCATCCTATGACGTAATATGCCTCCTCATCTCGCTGTGCCTGGGTGCCTGGTATCTTCTCAAAAAGGTTAGTATCCGACTGATTCCAAACAGGTCTGACGACGCTGCTCTACGGGATTCTAAAATAGCAATCCAAACAAATATTTACCACTCAAGGGCAGCAAACTTGTCCATCCAATGTAATTGTGTAATTTTTTTCAATTTTGTCTGAATACAGTTGGTAATAAAATTAAGTGTTTTGGTCTAAGCCACTTATCTTGAAAAGCAGTATTATAGGCTTATTTCACACTTTACTATTTTACTGAATTCAGGAGAGCTTACTTTTTATTTCACTGTCCAAAATCAACATTTTTTACATACAGCCTTTTACCAGTACGAGATCAGTTTACGTATTATGTCGCTTTGTACATTCCTTATCTTTACTACGCGAGTAATGTGGAAACCAATAGGCCTATTTTGCAAAAACTGGAAGTCGTAAAGCAAATTGCGTGACTGAAAATGCACATTATCTAGTAAGTAAAGTAAAAGTTAGTTATACACGGTCTCCAAAGTCGCTACAAATTGTAATAATACACTCACTTTAAATACCACCAACTTACCTACAAAAAGGGAACTGTAGTCGGATTTTTAATTAAGATACTAAGCTAATTATAATTATTAATACAAAGATCGAACACTCAGAAAAAACACTCAGAAAAAATTCCTTCGATCCGGTCGGATTCGAACCGACGTGTTCTTGCATACCGTGCCAGACGCTATACCAACTAAGCCACGGACCGAACCAACGGACCTCACGAATTTTTCTATGTGCTTGCGTCGTGTCTTTGTACTTGGT